GAATTCATTAGCATAACAGGCCACACCCAACAGCAGGAACTCATTAGGATTGGCTACATTAGGGGTGTGTGGCCTAACATGCAAAGGAGTTCCTGCTACAAAAAAAGGCCCTGGGGTTTGACAACGAACAAGGTAAACAGAATAAGAAGCAAAAGGTGGGTGTGGCTGGTTGACCACACTTCTGGTAACATGGGGTGTGTGGCCTAATATGCTAATGAGTTTCAGCTGTTAGGTGTGGCCTATTATGCTAATGAGTTCCTGCTGGGCTTTTTCTACAAAAAAAGCCCTGGCAACACCCAACAAAGGGTGCTGCTGCCCTTGCAAGGACTTCGAGGTCCTAATGGTGGAGAAGAGGGTGGTGGGGTGGAGCTCTTGAAAATGGGTATTGGCTTTTGATGCTGTCACTAAAATAGCCTTATTTTAATAACAGACACTTTAAAAAACTCCATCAATTTTGTTGAAAGATCCATTCATTAAAAAAAAAAAAGTCCCTTCAGGGCCCCTCCAGGATTAGGGGCGCTAAAACTTAAGCTTCATTAGCAGGGCTATTTTTGGGCAGGAACGCACAGGAACAGAGTTCCGGCTGGCTCCTGAGTTGGCCACGCACTCATTAGCATAATAGGCCACACCTAACAGCAGACACTCATTAGGATTGGCTAGATTAGGGGTGTGTGGCCTAACATGCAAAGGAGTTCCTGCTACAAAAAAAGCCCTGTGTTTTGACAACAAAGTAAACAGAATAAGAAGCAAAAGGTGGGTGTGGCTGGATGACCACACTTCTGGTAACATGTGGGGTGTGGCCTAATATGCTAATGAGCTGTGCTGTCAGGGGTGTGGCCTAATATGCTAATGTGTTCCTGCTGTTGGGTGTGGCCTAATATGCTAATGAGTTCCTGCTGGGCTTTTTCTACAAAACGAGCCCTGTAATCATTAGTTTCATAGCAGAACTGCCCCTGGCTGTAACACGTTATATTTCTTTATATTTGAACTGGCACATGAAAAGTGAGGTAGCAAAGCTGGTAACCCCCAGTCCTTCCAAGTATCTCCTATGGATACTGTATGGCCATACAGCTACATTTGAGTCCAGGAGGACCTTAGAGATCAACAAGATTTTCAGGGTATGATCTTTTGAGAGTCAAAGCCCCCTTTGTCAGGTATCTGGACTCAGATCTTGCTGTTCTACTGCAGAACAACACAGCTGCCCGAAGGAGGAGTAGGAGTAGGAGGAGTTTGGATTTATATCCCGCCTTTCACAACCCGAAGGAGTCTCAGAGTGGCTGACAATCCCTTTCCCTCCCCCTCCCCACAACAGACACCCTGTGAGGTAGGTGGGGCTGAGAGAGCTCTCTCAAGAACTGCCTTTGAGAGAACAGCTCTGAGAGGACTTGTAACTGACCCAAGGTCACACTAGCTGCCGCATGTGGATGAGTGGGGAATCAAACCCAGTTCTCCCAGATTACAGTCCGCACTTTTAATCACTACACCAAACTGGCTCTCAAATTCTTTTCCTTTATACTCAAGGAATCAACATCTTACTTTGATGCACATGTCATAAATTATAAAGATATATCACTGAGCGCACCCTATGGCTCCGTGGAACCCCAAATAACCAAGCCAAACAGGGAAGAATACTGTGGAATCTCTTCTTTATTAGGATACACACACGTGAGAAAACTCTCAACAAAGTTCTTTTCAGCAGGCCAGTTAGCTGGAGGTGGCTTTATTCAAGTCACAGTCCCCCTCCTTGCCTTTAAGAAGGGTGTTGCTACCCTCACTTCCTGTGGGTCTAAAAGGCTGGGATCAGGCCCTCACATGAGGGGTTTGCCAGACTGGATGTGTGGGGGTGACCCTTCTTTCTCCCTGCACCTTCCGGTCTCTTTCACCCCATTCTGCCTTTTGCCGCTTTCTGTTTCTGCACCAGGGCCCACCTGCAGCCTCTCCCGTGCTCTGAAGCACTGACTGCTACGTCACATTGGCTGTCATACGGGGGCCACCTCAGCGGCATATAAGGATACAGAGCCCACCATTTTCTCCAGGGGAACTGATCTCTGCCGTCTGGAAAGCAGTTGTAATTCTGAGTGATCTCCAGCCCTCACCTGGAGATTGGGCACATTTTACCTCAGAACAGCAAAACTGGTTAGAATGTTAGAGGCAAAAGCCAATCAAGTCGCATACGTAAACGACCTCTGTGTTCTGAGGCAGAGGCCACAGGAGAGGCTGAAGAGTGAAGGGGAAATAAAGGTAGGTTGATGATTGGCTGGGAAGGAGATAGGGTTGCCAACTCCAGGTGGGAAATTCCTGGAGATGTGAGGGATGGAGCCTGGAGAGGGTGAGGTTTCAGGAGGCGTGGGACCTCGGACAGGTACAAAGCCATAGACTCCACCCTCCAAACTAACTATTCCCTTCTGGGGAACCATCGTTGCCAATCTCCAGGTGAGGGCTGGAGATCACTCAAAATTACAACTGTTCTTTAGGTAGCAGAGATCAGTTCCTCTGGAGAAAATGGTGGACTCAGTGTCATCATACCCTGCTGAGGTCGCCACAGCAAATTGACACTGAGTGTCCAAGGCTGGGGCACCCGCCCAGAGACTCTTTCTAGAGGCCGTTGTATTTATTTCCACAATGGGCCTTTTTCCTAGTAAGTGAATAATTCCATTCATTGTCTGTTCTTAAGGAGGCATGAACACTTAGATTTAAGGTCATACTCATGAAGACCAACAAAAGAACTAACTACTATCATTGACTGGATGGCATTACTAAGAAGGCACATCGATTTAACCTATACTTGGCCTCTCTTGATGTTCCTCAGGTTTCCCAGAAAGCCTTTTTGAGGCTGTGAGGAAAAGTGTAAACTCAGAATTGATGGAGAAAAATCTTTTGGTGCTGGAGGTTGAAAAATCCAAACAGTTCCCCACCCGGTAAATAATTACACGATCAACCATTTACTGTCCTTTTATTCACCCCAAATCTACAGCTTGGATAGACAGCTAACTTGACTTCATGGCAGAACAAGGGAGTGGACAGGAAACTGTCACCCTAGTTTACCGCCTCAGTAATCAAGTCCCTTTTGGTGATTTCCTTGGCAACTGTGTGTGAGAATTCACTAAGGGGATAACAATAGGGACCTTTCACTTTAAGAAAACAACACCCATTACCTTCAGTCCTCCTCCCCCAAGAGGCTGGAGTAGGGGACACACTGGAGAGCAAGGCACCCATGGTCAAACAGCTTGTGTGGCAGTTTCCCCTTTGAAGTCCAGGTGTCCATCTTGGGGTCATAGCACTCGAGTGAATCAGAGTCTTCAATAGCATTGTCGCTGGTGAGGAAGCGGCCTCCTGTCAAATACAGCTTCTCATTGATCACTGCCGCACCATGATGCATCCTCCTGTCCTTCATGTCTGCACACTTCACAAATTTATTGGCCTTAGTATCGTAAGCAATGACTCGCCGGGTATACCCTAGAACAAAGAAGGCTGAATGAGAGAAATGCTTCATAGCAAGGGTATAAAGCAGAGCTTTGGAATTAATAATGATAATGACTCCAAAAGTGAGGTGGGTTGTAACTCAAGGATGTTAGATAATTTTTGCCTGGTTCACATGTACCAAAACGCAACCCGCATGAACGCTGCCATTGTTTGGCAAACAACTCATGTGAATGGATCCATCCACCCGGGGAGAACCAGAGAAGCCTTTTACAGAGTTGTTTGATTTCTGCATTGTAGCATTGTGAGCTTTGGTTCCAGGAACAATAATTTGCCTGAAGAAGAATTTCTCGAAACACACAACTTTTGCCTGGGAGGCGTGTTGCTTTGATGCTTGCTGCTTCTCTTTTTGGAAAGCAACACAGCATACGATATTGGCATTGACGACTGCTGCATCTCTCATCAGAAAGCAAGATAGTCTCTACAGCATTGAATCCTGTCTGCATATTCGTCTCTGTAGCTGTGGACTTTTCTACAAGATATATATATTGTCCTTTAGGTTTTTGTTATCAATGTACTATAATTAATAAGATATATTTAAGTATATGATTTAAATGAATATATGAAGACATAGTAGAAAATCAGAATTGTATGTTTTGTTTTAACATGGTGTTTCCCCATGTTTACCCTCTCGGAGGTTGGCAACCCCACACTCTGCTATTTTCCCTTTATGATTTCCCGGGAGTAAGAAGAAGAGAAGAGAAGAGATTGGATTTATACCCTGCCCTTCACTCGGAGTCCCAGAGCGGCTTACAAACTCCTTTCCCTTCCCCTCCCCACAACAGACACCCTGTGAGGTAGGCGGGGCTGAGAGAGCTCTTTCCAGAACTGTACTTGAGATAACAGCTCTGACAGAACTATGGCTTGCCCAAGGTCATCCAGCAGCTGCAAGTGGAGGAGTGGGGAATCACACCTGGTTCTCCCATATTAGAGTCCACGCACTTAACCAGTACACAGAAGAGAAGAGATTGGATTTATACCCTGCCCTTCACTCAGAGTCTCAGAGCGGCTTACAAACCCCTTTCCCTTCCCCTCCCCACCACAGACGCCCTGTGAGGTAGGTGGGGCTGAGAGAGCTCTTTTGAGAACAGCTCATGAGAGAACAGCTCTGAAAGAACTTGTGACTGACCAAGGCCTCCCAGCAGCTGCATGTGGAGGAGTGGGGAATCAAACCCGGTTCTCACAGATTACAGTCCGCACACTTAACCACTACACCAAACTGACGTTGCAGTGGCAAAAGAGACTACGAGGTCTTTCTGTCCACTTGCCGGTGGATTGAACGTGACCATGGCAGGTGGTGGGGGAGGGCAAGACTCTCTTCTTCTTCTTCCTGCTCCATCCCCATTCCTGCCTACACTCACAGTGACCTAAGAAGGATCACCATGTCTTCGCCAAACCTGTTTTAGTAGATAAGTCCAGGGTTGCCAGTTCTGGGTGGGAAAATTCCTGGAGGTTTGGGAGGTGGGGCTTGGAAAGGGCAGGGTTTGGGGAGGAGAAGGACCTCATCAGCGTTTAATGCTATAGAATCTAACTTCCAAAACAGCAATTTTTGTCCAGGGGAACTGATCTGTGTAGTCTGGAAATAAGTTGTAATTCTGGGAGATCTCCAGTCCCCACCTGGAGGTTGGCAACCTTACTCAAATCTAAGATCTTGCCGTCTGGTCTTGCACGGTTAGCTTCCCGCAACATTGTTCTTTTCTAAACCTCTGTGTTTTAACATGAAATGGCTTCAGACGGATGCCGCTGTAAATTCAGACAGAATTACAACAATTCGTAACATCACCACCACCACCCCCGACAATATCTCATGAAAGCCAAGAATCCCATTACTCAGACCAATAAACTCAATTTTGTTTTGAAGTGAATTGTCTAGGGAAGACTTCAGATATATTGGATGCTTTAAAATTTTTTAAAAATGTGTTTATTATTATTGTGGGGTTTTTTTAGTTCCAGTTGCTGATAAGCTAGGAACAATGGGATGATGTTATGGCGTACTTACTGGTAAAGGAAAACTTATCCAGCTGTAAATCTCTCCACTTTAAAGAAAAATGGATTATGTTTTGAAATGAACTGAAATGTTTGTATACTTTATTGAATAAACCGAAAAGCTTAGGGCTTAAGCTCATCAGTTGAATTACTGGCACAAAGATTCAGGATAAATACATTTGGAGGCATCAAATTTGTAGATCTC